AAAATAAAATAACATGAATCATGAAAGTTAAACACTCAGAGCAGTGCCAGGTGCACAGTCCTCACTAACTATAGCTATTATTAGTAACATAACATTGCCACGGTCATGGGAGAGATTAAATATAAATCCTTGCAAGGGCCTCAGTTTATGATTGCTACTAAGTATAATAATAGTAATGCCTAAACCTCAATATTGTTTTTTAAAAAGCCCTCCTTTTCTTGGAAGAAGAAAAGCAGAGAGGGCACAGGAGGTTACAGGTGATCCCATGACCGGGGACGTCCTCTCCTGGGTTAGACAGAAGAGCAGGTATTACCAAGAGAAGACTCACATTCAAGAAGCCAAGAACCAAGAACATAATCACGTTTCATGCTGCAGACCAAGCCTCTGAAGAGACCTCTGGCACTTGCATAAGCCAGTATTAGAGAGCGGGACGGCTCAGTGACACCGATACACAGAATGCTACATTTTAAATAATACATTCTCTTCACTATCCCTGAATGCACTTTAGGGACCTAAGAAACTCTTACTTAGCAAGGGGAAACAGACTGGTTCCTGGGAAAATTCATGCTTAATTATTTAAAAGTAAAGACATCTCGTGGGGAGGGTATAGCTCACTGGCAGAGTATGTACTCAGCATCCATGAGGTCTTGGGTTCACTCTCCAGTATCTCTGCTAAAAAAAAATTAAATAAATAAACCAAGAAAGGCACCTCCTCTCAAAAGGCCACTATGCCATCTTTTGTTCTTACTGGGACTCCATTCGCCATCACTTCCTTCCCCTCCGAACTCACTGGCCTGAGGCAAAAGGTAAGCAGAACTTTTCTAAGAAATGAAAGGCACAGATTCAGAAAAGCTCAAAGTACAATAACAAAGGCACTGGCCAATAGGCTGAACTTGCTGAGGTGAAAGAACGAACAACAGAATTTCAAAAAAAACCCTCCATGCTATACAGACGACAGGCCTGTTTGCTATAAAATGCCCAAACCTCTTTCTCAATAAATATTTTTTTCAATTTTGGTTCTCAAATTTTCAATAAAATATTGACTGGAGACATGTATTATTTCACATCAATATCACTTGTTTTTTATAATTATTGGGTCAGTTTCATTATGGTCAGTGAAAAATTTACCCTACATTTTGAGCAGTTGTATATTTTCAAAGAATTTTATAATTAATACTCCAAACAAAGTCAAGAATCTCCAGTGCTCAAACTTCCACGTTAGCACAATCAACCAGACGGGTCTACAGTAGAATCCAGACATCTTAGGAAGCAGTTCATGTTCTGCTTTTGGATTTAACATTTTACAGGGTTCAAAAAAAAAAAAAACTTTGATATTTTTCAACTTTTTCTTCAAAGGAAAATCTATAATTATTTTTGCAATTCCGAAGAAGCAACCAAAAAAATGAGTTTACAAAACCTACCCAATGGGTAGCTTTCGTTAGCCTCATTTTATTGAAGTGGAAACAGAGTCTGGGAAATACAAGCTTCACCCATGGACAGAAATGAAGTGGGAGCACAGAACTGGAATCCAGGTTGCCTGGGTCCGAGGAAGAGGAGGAGAGATCTTTCCAGGTTGTTGGTCTTAACAAAAGGATCAAGCCCTCAAATTAATGGCCATGAGGTACCAGACAAATAAAAAAACAACTAAGGAGAGTAAAAGGCTGGATGTAACAAGGTCCCTACACTCATCCCTTTTTGTAAGCTAGGACCAACCTACTTTAGTTTAACCAAGGATGCTGGTGGTTTTGGTCAAATATATATAAGGTCTAACTGACTTTATGTATTAGGACCTCTGAGCTGAAATTCATTGACTTTAAGTTTCTAACCAGATTTTGGATCAGACGCTCCGAACAAAATGAGAATATAATGACATTATGTTTCAGGGAATGCTGACTGCAGAAGTAAATTTGGAGTGCCTCTTATCTACTGAGCAAAAGGGAACACTCCCTGAGGGCAGAAATGTCAAAACAAACTCCAAAAGCAACGCCAATACCAAAGGTTCAAAGTTCTCTCTCATTTGCCAGCCTCTCATCCTACCTGAAGCTAGAAACATCTACTCCCACATTTTTTGCCCAAGTTTTGTTCCTTAAATGTCACGACTTACCAAGAATGCAGTGTCACAATCCCTTAGCAAAGGTCCTTAGGATCAGAGGATTTTTCAGAATTCAGAATTTGTGGATTCAGAAAGGCACTGCAGTGACTACACCACATACTATGCAAGGCCCCAGCAGTGTCTGAGGAATAACCTCTGTTCTGTCATACTGGTACTTCTGTAGTGGAAGTTGTGCAAATTCGCATCAAGTGAACTGAATAAAGAATTAAAAAGCCACACACCAGTTCAGGTCAAGTTTGACCTCAGGGTCAAATGAGTTTCAGCACCCAAGTTAGCATAAAGAGTTTTTGATCCTCAAAGCTTTCAGATTTCAGAATTGAAAATAAAAGATTATGAATCTATATTATAGTGGACGCTTTATTATATTAATAGTACTCTGAGTAGAAAAAAATAATTAATGAAATATAAATGTATACCTTATAATACCAAATCAATTATAGCCAATTACAAGAAGTCCACCCTTGCCAAATTTAAAGGCAATGAACCAAAGAATACAGAAAAGTCTGTTTCCCACTATCAAGCATGTGTTCAATAAGGCAATACTATCAAAACCAAAATGCTCTGGACAACCAGGCCCCTGATAAGATATAATATTCAGAAATATAATAACTAGGTTAGGGGGAAAGGTAGCTAAACATTGGGGTTTAAAAAGGATCTATGACAAACTTAGGGGGGAAAAACAAATTTTCAGTGCGGCTTAAGATGCTAAATAAATTATGGCAAACAACATAAATCAATTTTTTACTACTATCAGAAAATTCGCTGTGCGAAATACACAATTCCATCCTGAACTTCAGCTTTGACTGCTCACCCAGAGTTCTCACACTACTTAAGGCGAGGAGAAGTCATCAAGTTTGGAGTCACAGAATCACCACCCTAACTTCCAGGGGTCCCACTGATCCAGGCACTACTTCACAGGGCTGTCAGAACACTGACATTGCCTCCCCAAACAATTCAGGGCACCAGGAATGAGCACACAGCACCACGCAGCCACAACTGCATGCTGGTCTCGCTCATCCAAACGAGGGAGACCTACACCAGAAACCAGCTCACCACACAGCCCCGTCCCTCACAAAACCGAAGCAAAGACAGAAACAGAGGTGAATTCTCTGAGGGAGTGCACCCTGAGCACTCTAGGGATTGGGCTGTGCATAAGCCAGGTGGAGAAAACACAGTTTTCTATACTCTGTTAAATCTCACACACACTTTTGGTAATTTGAGCAGCTGTGGGAACCTCAAAGGTAGAAATGGACGTTGAGGGTGAAGCAGTGAGCTCGCGCTGTTAAGCCATGCTGGCTCCCCTGCTGCAAGTTTTCACACTGACTTTGTGAGAAGTTTGAGACTGCCACAGACTTATGATCTGTAAGTAGACATTCAAATATCTGCTCACTTCAACTCATCCAACAACCTTTAAGGACTTACACCATATTCAGCACAAGCTGGACATGGGGAGCACAGGCATAGACATGAGCCAGCGGGAACAGGAAGGTCAAAGCACTAAAGGGAGACTCAGGATGCAGATCCTATAAGCACACTGCCACAGGCGCACATTTGTGTTGCTTTTTCAGGCGAGATAAATAAAACCTTCCACTGCATATCTAACCCACATTTTAAGACAAAACTGATGGGAGTATCACCCTGAATGACTGCCAGCAACAGACAATAAAAAATG